ATCCAAGAAATTTTCATCTAGATTAATGTTCACAAATGGAGCTGTGTAATAAAAGGGGTGTGTTTCGATTGAGTAGCTTTTGATGCCTAGCATCACAGCTATTAGAGGTCGACTGCTACTTAGAGGCTTCACTGGTTCTTCGGATGATCTGAAGTAACTGAAAAACAAAATGACAAACTTTACACGCTTGCTTATCCTGATGTTTGATTTGTGAATGAGATAGTTCAACAAATTTTTCGAGCAAGTGTCTTCAAACATATATAACGGACTGCGAATGTAATGGTGTAAGTTGCGGCCCAGAAATGAACAAAAATCAAGTTAATTTGGTAGTTTTGAGCACTTTTTAAGCAACTGGACAAAAAATTGCGTTTTTTTAAACATATTTTTGAGGTTGGTCAGCAAAGTATAGATGTAGTAAAGCCCTTGGAAAGTTTTAGCTGCCAGAATTGAACTACCAACCCCCCCCCCTCTCGGCACGCACACTACTGCTGGAGCTCGCTTTTTTTGGTCTTAAATTTGCTGTTAAGTACTACAAAAAAGGAGTTAAAATGTCACGGAGTGAAGCTTATACCCGTAGCCAACAAGGGATGTTTTTCTAGATATAAATGTTATATAGATTACCTAGCCAATTTTTTTTTCGTATTTTCTGTACAAAAGCAGTAGCAATACAGTGCAAATTAACACTGGTATAACAAGTGTTTCTTTGAATTAGATTGCTAAAACTATCATTCATTATAAGGTTAAGTGGTCTAGCGGTTAGGTAAATCGACTGTAAACTGTCAGATCGGTAGATCGAGTCCCTTCGCGAGAGAATGTTTTAAGCTAAAATTAGCCTAGATTTATCTAGTTTCTGATCAGAAATAAGATTAGAAATAAAGAATTTTAAGAAAATCCCTGCATTATTTAAACATTACACAAAGAATTTCTGACCACAAAAATAGATTAGATATAAAGTATTCCAGGTCAGAAATAAAGGATTTTCTCGGTACGGGTAGGGATTAAAGTGGCAACATGTATTGTTTACAATTGTTTTTTGTTCATTTAATTTTTTGGTTCAAACTAAAAAAATACGTATTTAGCAAAGTCTCTTCTGTTCACAAAATATTCAGAAAAAGCTGCCACGTGTTATCTTCAGAAGACAAAACTTTTCGCATTTTTTGAGGCAACCGACCATTTTGCACTCTGGCCTGCAAAGTTAGTTTCATTTAAAAAAGTATCAGTAGTAATTTTTCTTGGAGTTAAAGTTTGAGCATTTAAGAATTCAAAAAAAATCATGTTATTGGTTAGATGGGAATTGTTTTTGGTTTTTTGTATTACTCTTGCCATCTTGAAACCCAATGATTCAAACTAAACCAGACTGTTCAAAAGTCTCTCGAATTTACATTCGGTGGCACTGCAAACTTAAAATTCTGACTAGTTTTTGAACCAACAAACTAAAGAAGTTAAATGTTTTGTTTAGAGAAAAACCAATAACTTCTCTTTCCCCTTTTTAAACTAAAAAGCTTATATATATATTTCATATTTGAGGGGGAGCGAGCGCCAAAAAAAATTGATTTTTCGCTCGAAATTTTCCAAAAAGGCCTAAAAACCTCTTTTTGGCTTGTTTTTCAAAATTTCACCTGGTTAAAATAGAAAATTTGGTAAAAAATAGGGTCTTTATATTGATTTGACAGAGCTCAGAAAATCAATTTGGTTGACCTAAAAGAAGACGAGAAAATTTACGAAACTTTCATGAGAATCTGCCCCCTCTCGAGAAACTCCTAGATCCGCCCCTATGAATATATATATTCATAGGGGCGGATCTAGGATTTTCTCGAGGGGAATTTTCTCGAGGGGGTAGGGCTGTCTGCAAGAAAGAATTATCTAATATAGTACCAAGAGCGGATCTTTGGGTGGTAAAGGGGGTCGAACTCCTGAGGTAGGGGGCGTCCAAGCCCCCTTACTCACGCCCCTTCCCGTTAAATCAGCTACAGCTACTCTCGGCAGGGGCGGATCTAGGGTTATGTCGAGTAGGTGCCGATTTAAAAAAAATCAAAAACTTTGTCGACTTTTTTGTCGGTCGATCAAATTGATTTTCTGAGCTCTACCAAATCACTATTAAGGCCCTCTTTTGACCAAACTTTCTATTTTAACCAGGTGAAATTTTAACAAACAGGCCAAAAAAGCGTTTTTAGGCACTTTTTGGAAAATTTTCATCGAAAAACCACGAACTTTTGGTGTGCGCCCCCCCCCCCCCCTCAAAACTGAAAAGCGCCTTCAGAAAAATTTTGTGGTTAGTCAGCCAAAAATAGATATCTCAAAATAGAGGTGTATTATATTATGTGGTGTGTGTGTTTGTGCGTGTGTGCGTTTTTGAAGACATCTACTGCAAAGGCCGCAACAAATAAACAATTACTGCGTAGAGATCTAAAATAAAAAAAAAGATGCTACGATAAAACGCATATCTGGAAAGAAAAGGAGAGAAACGGAGTTATTCTAAGACAGAAAAGCAGCGGGTCTGCTGGGCACAAAAGCTACTGCTTCAGAGATTATATTTTTTTTACTGTCGAAATCATACCGGAATCTTCAATCATGCTTCCTAGCTGAAGAAATCGTGACCTCTTTTGTCAGTTCTAATAATTTGTTTTGGATAGTATTGGAAACTTTGGCTTTGAAACGCTTATGCTTTCCGTTCGTCAGTCCATTCATTTAGAACAAATTTGTTAAGCTAATACTTTCTAATAAACTAGCTTATTTTTCTGCCCTTCAGATACGCTACTTTTAAAAACAGAGTTCAGAACTAAGATTGCAACTTACTCAACATTACGTGGCTTCGTTTTATAGTACCGGTCGTACGATTTTCGCAAGACCAAATCGGTGCTAGAAAATTTGACGAATATTTTTAAATTAAATCAATAAAACTCAGATGATGACATAACTTTGAAAACTTAAGTTTTCTCTATTAGACTGAACCAGTACTTTTGACCGATCGTTTTACACATCTGGTAGAAAACGCCATTAGCTATCGTTTTTACAATCTGCCTTTTCTGATCCGTTTTAGATGAGTCACTTTGTTTTTTTTTAATCTCGGCTAAAACCCACATATTTTGTATAAAAAACATTCTATAATTTTTCTGTAAAATGACCAAATTTGATAAAAAGTTTTGTAAAAATTTTACAAAATTTTTTCCAAAACTGTGTGAGGAGAACAGTTTTTTTGACACTTCTGCAAGAAAATGACTTCTACTAGAGATATTGACTTCTACAAGATTTAGACTTCTGAAAGATATTAATTTCAACAAGAAGTTGACTTCTACAAGATATTGACTTTTACAAAATACCTGACGCACGCTCCTCGAAAAATTTTAGTTTATTGGCAAGAATGTCTTCAAACAGTTGACTGCCAACTTTGCTGACTGGTAATGCCACTGTTTTGATCATTTCAAATTTAAGGATGAACTCAATTGATTTTGAAAAAAAAAACAATTGATAACCAGACTGCTATCAATTAATTATGTATCATTGCAAAAAGCTCATTGTTTATAGCCGTCCCGCGCTGACGACCATGAGTTGGAAATCGATTTAAATCAATTTTTATAAAGATTAAATAAAAATCTTTTTATGATAGCTCTTACGATAATTTAGAATGGATTCAAACTGATTTTTGAGCGAGAAGCGGTGATAGAAAATAAGTTTCTTCAAATGTCATTATCAACATTCTAGGGGCAATTTCACCAAACCAATTGAACATAAAATATAGAATTGAAAAATTCAAATTAGAACATTTAATTTTTATGCAAAAAGAACATGAATATACTATACTGATAACTTTTTTATATTAATGATTTATATGGTCAGTCTTTTAAGCTAAGAGTAAGAATACGCAGAATCAGTGAAGCTATTTAGTAATTATTCAATGCATTGAAAAAGTCGGATTTTTTTGTTCTCAGAAAAAAAATTATTGCTTTACGATGCGAGCTTGTGAAAAAATTTTGAACTTCCAGCGATCTAACATTTTGAATATCAAAGGTTATGGCCCTTTTTTGTGGATTTTAGAGCAACATTTTTGTGTAAATGAAACTCAAATGATTCCAAAATTATGTTAATCCAAGTCCAAAATTGAATTTTGTTTTGAGTTAATTTTTATCAAATAAAAAACCATAAAAGTAAAAACCTATAGCCAACTGACACTTGAAAAACAGTAATGAACGCAAGGAAACAGAGAAAATCTGAACTGTTTTTACAAGAATTTTTAAATTTTGTAATTAAAAAAAATGGGTGACCTTAAAGCTCTTTGAATTTGTAGAACAATTTATGATGGACACTTTTTGTTAAAACTAACCCAATTTGAGAACATTGGATCAAAAAGTATAACTTTTATTTTGCTGGGAAATATGATAAATGATTTCAATTTTTGAAATCAGAAGTCGATCAAGTTAAGACTTTTTAAGACTTTTTCCTGAGAAAAAAAAACAAAAAATATCACCAAGATTTATATAACAGTGCTCACTAGGCTCATTACTCTTAAAAAATTTTGATTTAATATTGGGTTTGGACTTCTTACAGCATTTTATACGGCTAAAAACTTATAAAATGTATATATTTTTTCTGTTATTCTTTGGTTAGCACGATTTTATTTGTTAAACTGTTGGCTAGTGGAACCAGATCCAAACTATTTATTATTATTGGTTATAATTTAGATATTTTATCCCTACAAAATATTAAAGATTAACCAATCACACTCCATAAAACTAACAACCCACTTATTTGTAAGTGCTGAAATTACCTGTAATTTCAGCACCAGAGCATTTTGAATTTAACTTACAACTTAGTTGCTTTCTTCAAGAGACCGACTCGTAACAAACCAGTATACTCATGATCTATTGAGACTAAGAGATATAAGAGTAATATTAAGATCGGTATTAGACTAAGAAGTTGCACGAATCTATCCTGCCGAAAATCTGATAGCGCGACGAGCAGATGTTGTACTCTATCTGAAATTACTCTATGAGTTAGACCTCCATTCCAACTCACTAGAGTTAAGCTCAAAAAGCTTACCTATTTTTTGTAAACGTAAGCGTACACACGCAGCACATAAAATTGATATAAAAATACTATACTTAATACCAAACCATTTGCTTAATGCTCTAATTAATTTCACTAAAAGGTCGTTCAAATACTAGCAACCATTATTTTTTGAGGAATCTTTTAGAGGAATCGGATAATTAATAATCAAGGTTTGGTAGATGTTTTTCGAGATGTCTCAGATTTTTTTGCTGCATTGAGCATAAAATGGAACGGAAATTGTGCTTTTTGAAGGATGTCTGAAAAAAGAAATATGTTGATCCTTTTGGTTTTTAGTATATATTTCCGCGTGATCTTCATGGTTTCCACGGCGTATAATTTTGAATCATAAATTTTTCAATGTTAAATTGAAGCAAACTTATTTAGCCGAGAGTTAGTTTTGGGATAATATTTGTGATTTCTGCGGGTTTGATTTAAAAAACAATGAAATGAAACTTTGAAAAACCTTTTTAATCGAAAAACTTTCTAAGAATCGAAAAACTTTCGCTGTTTGAAATTGAAAACCTTGCGCTACTATCAGCAGTACATTGTTAAAAATAAGTAATTAAGGGCTAGCAGTAATGTTTTTTTATATCATGCAATTTATACGAGGAACTAGAAAAAAAATTACAGAACTAACTCAATTTTCTCATCAATGTTTTTAAAGTGGATATTTGAAGTACTATCACTAATTGTGGAATATAAACGAAATATTTCTAGCTTAAAACATCCCAACACAAAAATATCCTATATCTGCAACCTTTGCTTAAGATTCCCGGAGATAGTCGATATGTTTATTATTGGGGGAACTGGTTCACTTGCTCCGTGTAATTTGACCTGAAAAATGTTTCAATTTGAGGTTTTTTCTTACCGTGTGTTTGTCTGCAGTGTTTTAACGTCATTTCCCGAGCTGTTAAAATTGTCTCTGTAGAATTGATCGCTCGTGACATACATTGAAGAACATTCGTAGCATTCGCTGTCTGGAACATAGGCGTTTTGAGAGCGCAACAAAAGTGCTTCTTCTAACCGATTTTCACCGCTGAAGATCTTCGGAACATCTGAAGTGACTTCCATGTGGAAAATTCCATATATGGCCGTCGCGACTAACGCGATCCACAGAGCTATCAGAACGTATCGACATTTTATTATGATAATTGTGAGCTTATCAACAACAAGCAAGGCTATTTCGTGGGCTGATTGCCACAATTTTTTAAAGCCTTGTGTGCATAACATTTTCAGTTTTACATCTTCTTTGCAAGGGGTGAAATCATTTTGGCGAGTTGCGCTCGATGGAGAAAATTTCGGTTGCATTTCATCTTTCGTTTTCATTGGTTGAGTTTTTTCTATTTCAATCGGTGTGTTTTGGTAAACTTTCAGCGAATCAAATTGAGCTGATTTTGTTTCAGAATTAACTTCATCTTTGTCCAGTTTTTGTTCAGGAGGGGTCAAATTTATGTTACTTAAAGCGTTTGTGGCAGCTGGTGCATTTGGCTCGATTTTCTTTATCTGTTTTCCGTCTTTCCTTATGGCCAGAGCAGCGGGCATGATTAGCGCTACAATTAGCCAGCACACAAGGACTATTGTGCTCATGAAAAGTCCGAAGCTTTTCACGGCCGGAATTGGAGAGACGATACTTCCTGAAAGTTGAACTTCATATTTAGTATCAAGTTAACATCCTCACCCCAAATAGACTAAGTTAATTAATATTTTCAACCACAGCTTTTAATTCAAATTAACTTTGCTAAGCGCTGCAATTCGCTAAGCGCTGCATGCTGCATATAGTCGATTCTGGTTGGCAGAAAACTCCCTCTTAGAATCAAGTTAACACCCTCCCCCCAAAATGCACACCAAAATATTAACTTGGTCCAAATGAACTCCATATTAGAATAGGATCTCTTTAATTAACCCGCCGTCCATTACAAAATGGAAAAATTCGTTAGAGAATTCGCACATTCTTAGCTGCTAAATTCCGAGAATCAGGGGCGGATTTAAGGGGTGGGGCGAGAAGACGCTTCTCCTCCCCCCCCCCCCTCAGGGATTCGACCTCTTACCGATCCAAAGGGTCCCTCTTTGTACTATTTTGATATATCCCTAAAAATTGACCCTAAAAATTTTCTAAGGGCGCGTTGGGCGCCAAAATATACTAATTTTTAGGGGGGAGCTCAAAAAAAAAGGCCTCAAAACGCGGTTTATGGCCTGTTTTTTCAGAATTTTGCCTGCAGCACAGACAATTTGGTAAAAATAGGGTCTTTATGATGATTTGGGAGAGCTCAGAAAATCAATTTGGTCGACCGAAAAAAAGGTCAACAAAATTTGAGATTTTTTTTGAAAATCCGCCCGCACTCGAGAAAATCCTAGATCCGTCCCTGCCGAGAGTAGCTGTAGCTGATTTAGGGGGAAGGGGCGTGGGTTGGGGGGGGGGGCTTGGACGCCCTTTATTTCAGGAGTTCGACCCCCTTACCACCCAAAAATCCGCTCTTGGTACTATATTAGATTATTCTTTCTTGCAGAAAGATCCAAAAAGTTTTCTAAAGAAGCCTTTGGCGCCCTTGTAGACTAATTTTGAGGGGTGAGCGCGCCAAAAAACGCATTTTTGGGTAAAAATCTTCCAAAAAGAGCTTAAAAAGTCTTTTCAAAATTTAGCCGCGGCGCATAAAACTTTGCTAAAAGAGGTCTTTATTGTAATTTTTTTATGATAAAGTGTTTTGATAAAACCAATCTACTAGAGAAAACAGCCAACAGACAGTTAGAAAAGCCTAGTAAAACTCAAGAAAACTGATAAAAAAATTTAAGCGTTTGCTTTTAGCCCTTTTTAGCTCAAACTTGTATCATTTAGGGTGTTGCAGCGCAAATATAAAACAATAGTACAAATGCATATAAACGTAAATGTGCGAAAGTATAAATGCATATAAATGTAAATGCATATAGGGACAGTAGCCGAGCGTATACATGGTGCGTCCCGGCGGTTTCGGCGCCGGTTCGAATCCCGCCTAGGTCATTTCCTTTCTAGAACTCGAATGTGCACCGAACTTGATGGGATGCTCCGTAACCAGGTTCGGTCCCCCCAAAACCCATTTTAACCGTCTTTTCGCTCTAATTTGGTTCAGCCTTGGTTAAGGCTGACCTTTAAAAAGAGCAATTTGTCTCAAGGACAAATACTGGCCATTTTTGCAGCTTGCTTTGAGTTATGCAGTTTATTGTGGCCGATGTTACCGATAACAATAAAAAAGTTTTGTTATGAAATCTCATTGTTACCGAGTTATTTTGCCGATAAAATGCTCGAATTAAATTGTTTGAAATTCGATATTTTTACAATCCGTGGAGATTGAGCGCACATTTTGGCGCCCCACAAGGGACTCGATTCTGTATCACAAGGGACTCGAGTTTACTATTGCAACACAACAAGGGACCACTGTTTTTGGCGGACCCGAGTGTGTCCTTCCGTCAGTTGGCCGAAAGTCGACAGAGTACCAGTTGGCCGAAAGTCGTCAGAGTACCAGTTGGCCGAAAGTCGTCAGAGTACCAGTTGGCCGAAAGTCGTCAGAGTACCAGTTGGCCGAAAGTCGTCAGAGTACCAGTTGGCCGAGTGGCCTAAGCTAACGCCGATTATATAGGCTGTTAAATCGAGATTCAATCAGTCCCAGCGAGGAGCTGAAAAAAGCAGAAAAACGGACGCGACATATTTCTTATTTATCAAGAATTGACAAAGGAAATTCAGAGAGGCCTACCGAGAAATTCAGGTGTCGATTGAGTTGTCAAGCGCAAGCCAGCTACAGACGTTTTGTGGAAGTGATAGAAGCAATCATGAAACAATTTCTCTGCGTCTGGCCGATGGTTTGATAATCCGAAAACCGGTGGCCGCCCAATCTCCAAAAAATCGTCAAAAAACTGTAAGACTCATCTAGTTTTTATAAACTTTTTTGTGCAATAAAATTACATACGGTGTCTTATTGTGTATCCCAACTCAAAGCAAGCTACAGGTGGTAATTTTCCCGATACCACAAAGTTTTGGGTAATTGTGAACGGATTGAAAATCCAAGAAATCGGATCATAGACAAGGGGTACTAGACTAGTTTTTTGGGTTGGTTTACGACTCGAACCTGCTGACCAAAATTTTCCAAAAAATTTTGGGAAAAAAGTAAAAATTTCCAAAAAATCGTCAAAACGTCCCCATAATTCTGCGAAACTGTGCTGTAACATGACACCAACCTTATGGTAAGTGGTCTGGTAGCGAAATATCAGGCAAATTAAGTCGACAGAGTACCAGTTGGCCGAAAGTCGTCAGAGTACCAGTTGGCCGAAAGTCGTCAGAGTACCAGTTGGCCGAAAGTCGTCAGAGTACCAGTTGGCCGAAAGTCGTCAGAGTACCAGTTGGCCGAGTGGCCTAAGCTAACGCCGATTATATAGGCTGTTAAATCGAGATTCAATCAGTCCCAGCGAGGAGCTGAAAAAAGCAGAAAAACGGACGCGACATATTTCTTATTTATCAAGAATTGACAAAGGAAATTCAGAGAGGCCTACCGAGAAATTCAGGTGTCGATTGAGTTGTCAAGCGCAAGCCAGCTACAGACGTTTTGTGGAAGTGATAGAAGCAATCATGAAACAATTTCTCTGCGTCTGGCCGATGGTTTGATAATCCGAAAACCGGTGGCCGCCCAATCTCCAAAAAATCGTCAAAAAACTGTAAGACTCATCTAGTTTTTATAAACTTTTTTGTGCAATAAAATTACATACGGTGTCTTATTGTGTATCCCAACTCAAAGCAAGCTACAGGTGGTAATTTTCCCGATACCACAAAGTTTTGGGTAATTGTGAACGGATTGAAAATCCAAGAAATCGGATCATAGACAAGGGGTACTAGACTAGTTTTTTGGGTTGGTTTACGACTCGAACCTGCTGACCAAAATTTTCCAAAAAATTTTGGGAAAAAAGTAAAAATTTCCAAAAAATCGTCAAAACGTCCCCATAATTCTGCGAAACTGTGCTGTAACATGACACCAACCTTATGGTAAGTGGTCTGGTAGCGAAATATCAGGCAAATTAAGTTGAGTTTTTTCATCCTCAGGTTTTTTCCGCGTGTGTTGTTGGAACTTAACCGATTTGCCTGATTCTCCAAACCCATTGGTAAACTTAAGGTTTACAACGACTTGATACCTGTTTGCATCCGTTCGCTTTTCAAAACATTCGTTTCGCAACGACTGACTAAGTGGTCCGGGACGGTAAAATTAAGCAAGTTAAGTTGTTGTCTTTCATCCTCAGGTTTGCTCCGCGTGTGTTGTTGGTTTTCAACCGACTTGCTTAATTCCCAAACCTCTTGGTAATTCGTCGAGCTACTAGCCGATTAGTAGTGACGCACCGTCGTACGACCGTTCAACAAATTTCGAACGCCGTAACATCATCCTAAGTGGTCAGGGAGGTGATATTAAGTAAGTTAAGTTGGTTTTATTCATCCTCAGGTTTACTCCGTGTGTGTTGTTTGATATCAACCGACTTAATTAATCCCCAGCCCCATTGGTAACTTCACTCACCGAAAACCGTTCCGAATCGCCCCGCAAACGCCCGATAACCGTTAAGTATAGTTTGAGTTAAGTATAGACCCTAGAGCCATGGATGAGAACTTTCAGAAGAGGGTTCAAAGGTTATTTGCGAAGCGAACCAAGCTTGAAAATGAACTGTACAAGTGCCATGAAATTATAATTGAGAACATTGAAAGTCAGAGTCGCTCATCAAAGATTGACACTCAGATTCAGAATTGCAAGAGCCTGATAGAGACTGCAGTTGAAATAAATGAGGAACTGATTAAGTTAGCTTCTAAAAGTGTTGATCCTGATAAATTGATACCAGCGCAGGATATGTGGCTTCATACGGTTACATCAAGAAACGATACAGTTTTACAGAAGGCTGCATCATATAAAGCTGGCTTAAACGTTGAACCTGAGGAAACAGAGCTTGACAATGTTGCAGAATCGTTAAGTACGATCGTAACAACACAACCACAAGATTCACATGAAGCAGATGTGCGCTCTAAGGTGTCGCGGTACAGTAGTCGACATCATAAATCAGGTTCGCATAAATCCAGTCGCTATACCGTCGCGCAGTCAAAAACATCAACTGAGAAGAGGCGAGATTTGTTGGTTTTGAAGAAGCAGCAGGAGGAACTTGAGAGACAAGCAAAGGTGTCATTGAAGTTGAAAGCGCAGCAAAATAAAATAAAAGAACAGCAAGGTAATTTAGAGTTGGAAGAACTAGCTGAGGTACACCGCAAGAAACTGGCTGAAATTGAGTTAAAGGAATTCGAGTTGGAAGAAGAGCTTTCTGCAGCAAGTGAGAAGATAGGAAATGCTAGCGTAACACATGTTGACCCACAACGTACTGAACAATGGGTAGAAAACGTTGTCACTGAGCAAGAGCAGGCCGAAGTTGTTGCAAGCTGAGAGCAAAGTCATCCAGTAGTCGAGAGTTCCACTTTGATTGCTACTGATGTTTTGCAAGGGGTTGGTGCCGTCGTCAGCGGGGGTGCCGTCGTCAACGCTGGTCAAACCACATACAGTGAACCGGGAGGCCACAATAGGAATCGAATTCAGGCTCAGAGATCAAGTTTGGTCCAATCGCGTCTGTCATTGCACTCAATCGAGAA